TGGTCTCGAATTTGGGGGCGGGTCTTGGAGAAAGGCGGGGCTCGTGACTGTGTCGGGTGGAAGTCACACAGAGGGTGGGTCCCTGGTTCTGGGGAACAGAGGGCCCACCTAGCTTGCTGTGGGCGGGAAGGGCAGAATCCCAGGCATAGCGGGATAGCTGGACCTTTTTCTCTGACTGTTCGCATCAGGGTTTTCGGCTTTGCCATCGTGGCCACGTCCACTTTAAACATGCTGATCCCCTCCGCGGCCCGGGTCCACTATGGCTGTGTCATCTTCGTGAGGATCCTGCAGGGGTTGGTAGAGGTAAAGCCCCGCCCCGCGTGACCCCACCCCTGTTCCGACCACGCCTCATCCCGCTGACTTTGGTTTTCTCCTCCCTAGGGGGTCACATACCCCGCCTGCCACGGGATCTGGAGCAAATGGGCGCCACCCTTAGAACGTAGTCGCCTGGCGACAACAGCCTTTTGCGGTGAGAGGAAGGGTCTGGGTGGGGATCCAGACTCCTGCGTCTGCGAGAAGAGGGGCTGTAGCTTGTACTTTTGTGTCCTCAGAAAGATGGGGACTGGGGGTCCGCACTCCTGGATCTGAGGGAAAATGGGCCTGTTCTCTATCCCGCATCCTCGCCCTTAGGTTCCTATGCTGGGGCGGTGGTCGCGATGCCCCTCGCCGGGGTCCTGGTGCAGTATTCGGGATGGAGCTCTGTTTTCTACGTCTATGGTGAGGGACCCGACACCCGGCTCTGGGTGGCGCCGGAGTGGAGCGGGGCCGGTTGTCACCCCGCTCCCATTCCCCTCCTGATGCCCCCAGGCAGCTTCGGGATCTTCTGGTACATGTTCTGGCTGATCGTCTCCTACGAGTCCCCCGCGCTGCACCCCAGCATCTCGGAGGAGGAGCGCAAGTACATCGAGGACGCCATCGGCGAGAGCGCCAAACTCATGAACCCCCTCACGGTCCGGGACCAAGTCTGCGGGGGCGGGGCGGGGAGGGACATCCAAGTTGGGGGCGGGTTCCTGTAACCGTCAGACGAGACGGGACTGGAATGCAGAGAGCGGGACTAGGACCTAGGAGTCAGGTTACAACCCAGGAAGGCGGAGATTAGCAGGTGCAGAGGGCGGAGTTAGGTCGCGAGGTGAGCGGGATTAGACCACAGATGGGGCATGGTTAAAGCCAGCGGAGGCGGGATTAGAATGTGGGGGTTTTGCTTAGACCTCGGGGTGGATGCAGCTAGATTTGGGGGGCCTAATCGAATACGAGACTCCTAGGCTCACGTTTAAGGGTCCCTGAGGGGGATCGTAGGGCCGGGACACCTGCGAACCTGAGGGGCTATCGTGGAGCCAGGACTCCTCCGTCCCTAAAGTGTCACCGTAAGGCTGTGATCCCTGGGTCCCCATGGGAACATGGTCTGGCCAGCGTCCTGGGGTCCCAAGAGGTTTCAATGAGGTCGTAATCCCTTGGTCTCTGCGGGACTATAGTGGGGTCCCTGAAAGGACACGGAGAAGCCCCCAGCCGTGGCCTCCATCTTAGCAGCCCCTCCCCTCGCCCCCCGCAGAAGTTTAGCACACCCTGGCGCCGCTTCTTCACGTCCATGCCGGTCTATGCCATCATCGTGGCCAACTTCTGTCGCAGCTGGACGTTCTACCTGCTCCTTATCTCCCAACCCGCCTACTTCGAGGAAGTATTCGGCTTCGAGATCAGCAAGGTAGGGTCCAGGAGAGAATAGGAGGCCCGGAGCGGGTGGGACGCAGCGGGGCCTGGACCAGAGTCAGGAAGGAGCAGGTGGTGCACCCACCAGGCAGAGCCGCTGAGCCAACAGCTCTGAACACCGCCCCCTACCTTTCGCCTGCTCCTGCAGGTGGGCCTGGTATCAGCGCTGCCCCACCTGGTCATGACCATCATCGTGCCCATCGGCGGCCAGATCGCTGACTTCCTGCGGAGCCGCCGCATCATGTCCACCACCAACGTGCGCAAGCTTATGAACTGCGGTGGTGAGTGGGGCGGGGCCTGGCCCTGATCCGGGACGGCTGGGACTGTGCAGAGCTGGGGTGGGCGTGGTCATAGGTGCGGTCAAGGGGCGTGGCCAGCAGGGCGGAGCTGGGATGAGGGCGGACCTGGATGGAAGAGATTCTCAGGCTGCAGTCTAAGGGGCCACCGCGTGGAACGGGTGTGATTACCCAGGTGGAGCAGAGGCGAGACCAAGTTGGGCTTGGAAGGGCTGGGCCTGCCCGAGGCTATGTGTGGTAGGACGTGAGCTAGGTGATGAAGAGGGCCTATGAGTTGGAGGGACCTGGAGAGACGGGGTCCGCATAGCGTGGGGACGGTGAGGGAAGGTGAGAAGGTGTGCGTGGTTCCCGCGTATTCGGGGCGTGGCCTAGTCAGGGAATGCGGCCACGGTGCGTCTGTTTAGTCTCGGTGAAGCCAGTGGGTGAAGTCAGGGGCTGGGCCTGGGAGGAGTCAGTGGGGTGGGTTGCGGGCCTGGTGCCTGGCGTGGAGGTGGCCAGACTGGGGCACACAGAGGCGGATTGGGGCGCGAGCAGGTCCGGAAAGGTAGTATGTGGCAACTTGTGCCCAGCCATGGCCGACACTTAGGAGATGCATCCCTCTCCTAGGCTTCGGCATGGAAGCCACTCTGCTGCTGGTGGTCGGCTACTCGCACTCCAAGGGCGTGGCCATTTCCTTCCTGGTCCTAGCTGTGGGCTTCAGCGGCTTCGCCATCTCTGGTGAGAACCGTGGATCTGTAGCTTGGGGGATTCTGGTCAGCTCTATAGGGAACTTCCTGGCTCAGGAATGGGGCCTCCCAGCCTCACAAAAGGCGAACTAAACCGAGTGGGGTTGGGGGCGTTGGGAACATTCCAGGGGGAATCACTGGAGTGAGATGCGGGTGTGTCACACCTTCTGATTTATCTCTCCACCAGGGTTCAATGTGAACCACCTGGACATCGCCCCTCGCTACGCCAGCATCCTCATGGGCATCTCCAACGGCGTGGGCACGTTGTCGGGCATGGTGTGCCCCATCATCGTGGGCGCCATGACTAAGCACAAGGTTGGTGCATGGGTCCTGAGTCACTCGCTCTCCAAATGCATGCATGGTACCTTCCTGACCAGGCTGAGTCACCCTCACTGGGGCCCCACCTCTGTCCTTTCTGGTCTCTTTCCGGCCCTCTCTGGGTCTCTGCCTCCCTCCTCCTGCCATGCCCTCTCCACCGTCCGTCCGTTTGACCTCATCCCTGTTGTCCCCCCCGCAGACTCGGGAGGAGTGGCAGTACGTGTTCCTAATTGCCTCCCTGGTGCACTATGGGGGTGTCATCTTCTACGGGGTCTTTGCTTCGGGAGAGAAGCAGCCGTGGGCGGAGCCTGAGGAGATGAGCGAAGAAAAGTGTGGCTTTGTCAGCCATGACCAGCTGGCTGGCAGTGACGAAAGTGAAATGGAGGATGAGGCTGAGCCGCCGGGGGCACCCCCTGCTCCCCCTCCCTCCTATGGGGCCACACACAGCACAGTTCAGCCCCCAAGACCCCCACCCCCTGTCCGGGGCTACTGACCATGTGCCTCCCACTGGATGGCAGTTTCCAGGACCTCTGTTCCACACAACTCTGGCCTGAGTGACAGTGTCAAGGAGCCCCACTCCTCCGTCCTGTCGCAGGCCTAAGAAGCACTCTCCCTTGTTCCCAGTGCTTCCTCTTTCCTTCCTGGCTGCCTCTCAGGGGTAGTGGAGCTGCAGATGGCAGTTTCGAGGATACCCAAACTCCCCTAAAGGTTCCCTTCTCCACTTGTTCTGCCTCAGTGGTTCCAGATCTCTCCTTTCAGGTCTTTATTTTAATGGACAGTGCAACCTCTTCCTCTCTCTCGTGGTTTCAGGCACCGCGCCGCTTTCCTTTAACCCCAGGGGCTCTCAGGCTAACCCCTGAGATTACTTAGCTTCCTCTCCTTTCAGAAAAGTTCAAGGTCCTCCTCTAGAAGTTTCAAATCTCTCCCAACTCTATTCTGCATTTCCCAAATTGGTTCAACCAATCGCCCATCCCCGCCATTCCAGGGGTTGATTCTCACCAGCGTTTCTGAGGGAAAATGGCGGTTTCATGTCTCCCCCCTTCCCCCATCTTCCTCTTCCCCCTACCAGCAGATTCTGCGGAAGCATCGAATTCCCAGGACCTTCTCCCTAGCGTAGCATGTCTAGGGAAAAGACCAAAATGGCAGTTTGAACAATATGCCTCCCTCCACCCTCATGCACTTTTTCTGACGTGGTTTTCAGGTCTAAATAGTGGCTGCTCAAGTCCATTAACTCAGTGGTTTGAAGCCATCACCACTGAACTTCCCCATGGTGGTTTCAAGACGCCCCTCTTCCCCAAGTTCCTTGCACTTTATTCTCCTGGGTGGTTTCAGACTACCCTCAGTTTCTCAGTGGCCATTTGTTGGGTCCCTCAGGGGCTAAATGACTCAAGATCTGGGATCCTTCCCCTTTCAGACCCCCACTTTCAGCTTAGAATTTGGGGAACATATATAGGAGAAGTCACAGAATCCCAGGAAAGGGAATGGGGCAGGGGGAGAGGGGTGTTTTTCCCGGGGCAGGGTTGTGTCTTTGTGTCTCTGTGACTGTAAATCCTGCCCTGCCCCACTCCCAATAAAATGCTTTGGTGTACAGACTCAGTTGTCATTGGCTGTGGGGGTCACAGGAGCCCTGGCCCCCAGCCCCGTCCCCACTCAGACCCGGGAGTCCCAGCTCCCAGCCCCTTCCTCTCTCAGACCCCAAAGAACCATCCCAATACCCTTCTCCCTCAGTCTCAGCCGGTTAGACTCCTGCCCCAGGACTCATGCAAGAGAGATAGTCACGGGAACACGTGATTTATTCAACCTCAGGCTGTGTTCTCCGACCGCAGAGAAAGCGTCTCTGTGTGTTGGACTCCCCATCCCAGAGGACCACTATGTAGCAAAGCAAGTCAGGAGGACAGGACCCCTGGGTCCTCCCTCCCTCTGGGGATTCGCAGGTCTGGCGGGACTCAGGCAGGGCTCACACGAAATTGTTGGGGAGCGTGGCGGGGGACAGCGCCTCCAGGCGCTGGGGGCGGCCCCCACCGGGCGGTGGGGGCAGCTTGGGTGGCAGCGGGGGTGTGGGCGGCGGCTGCTTGGTGGCGATGTGCGAAGGGACCCAGGCATCCGGCGCATAGAAGTAGAGGTCGTAGGGGTCCTTGGGGGTGTCCAAATGCATAACTGTGGGAGCAAAGGGTCGGGGTCATCCCCAGGCCAAAGGGGGGGTTGTGCCGCTGGCCAATGAGGAGGTGGAAGAGAGGACCAGACAGCACATTGGAACTGGGTTTCCAAAGAAAGGGTGAGGGCCACTGAATAAACGAGGAGGCGAGGCGTCCATCGGCAGGGGCGGGGCCTGAGGGCGGGGAGCGGGGAAGGGAGGGGAAGGGGGCGGGGCTTGTAGGGACTGGTGGCTCTGGGCCTGAAGCAGCTCCCAACTGGGTTAGGAACGGAACTAGATGTGTGCGTGCGTGCGTGCGTGCGTGCGTGTGTGTGAAATTCCAGACCCTCAGGGGGCATGACGTGACCATGAAGGGGTCAGGGCTTTAACTGACCTTGGGTGGGGGATCTGTGCTTTTTGAAAAGTTAGGGCGCCCTGTAGTGCCTGGGAGGGACCAGGTTAAGGAAAAGTGCAGGCACTCCAGGGTCGGGGCGCTCACCCGGCTCATCTCCATCGTCCGGGAGCCGGTGGTGTGCGAAGGGCCGGTGTCGCGCTGCCCGGCGGTAGAGACACCACAGCAGCAGGAAAATGCCGAGCAGCAGCCCAGTCCCCGCGAAGAACAGGCACAGGGCCCCGCCTGCCGCGCCGCGGGGGCGCCCCACCAGAGTCACGCCTGAGGGAGGGGACCGTCTGAGCTCCCAGCGCTCTCCGCCCTGGGGCCCGGGAGCCCAGCCCCCAGCCCGCCTCCCTCAGACCCAGGAGTCCGGCTCCCCGCCCCTCACCAGTCTCCTTCACTCGTTCCACCACGATGATAGTGTTCACTCTCTCACCTCCGCTGCGCCGCTGGGGGGCCCGCAGGGTGGCAGGGGCCAGCTGATTGGGGGACCCTGGAAGAGCAGGGGGGCCTGCAATCCGGGCTGAGGGAGGAGGGGCATCGGGCCCCTTAGGGTCAGAGTTCTGGGGGGCCTTCAGCTCAACAGTCCCCGGAGAATCTGAGGTGAGAAATTTAGGGGAGTCGGGCTGGGTGACTGCAAGGGTTTCTGGTTTGGGATTCAGGGCAGTAGCTTCATCCATGAAGGGTGCAGGTGTTTCTGGATAAAGACTAGTAGAGATTTCAGGGTCAGAGGTCATGGCGACATCTGTTTCATCTTGGTAGTGGGCTGTGGGGAATTTGGTTTGGGAAATTTCAGTGGGGATGGGGTTGTGGGTCACATGGGATTCTGGGTGGGGGGTTTCAGTAGGGTCAGGATAGAGGGTCTGGGGAAATTCAGAGTTTGGGAGCTCAGTGGTGTCAAGGTTATGGGCTTCTGGAGATTTGGGATCAAAAGTCTTGGTGAGGTCAGGATTTAGGGTCTCAGGGATTCCTGCCTGTGAGATTTCAGTGGCGTTAACTTTGGGAATCTTTGGGGGTTCTTGGTGTGTGGTTTGCATAGGGTAAGTGTTTGGGGCCTCAGGAAATTCTGGGCGTGAAGTTTTGGAGGGGTTAGCTTTGGGGGTCTCAGGGGATCCTGGGTGTGGAATTTCAGTTGGGCTAGGTTTGGGGGTCTCAGAAGGCTCTGGGTATGTCATTTGGGAGGGGGTAATTTTGGGAGTGTCCAGGCATTCTGATATTGAGGTTGAGAGTGGGTCAGCCTTGAGAGTCTCAGGAGACTCTGGGTGTGAGGTTTCTGGGAGGTCAGGGTTGGGGGTCCCAGTGAAGTCAAGAAGGGAGGAAGTCTCGGGGGAAACTAGGTGAGGTGTCTTGGAGGGCTCAGGATAAACAGTCCCAGGGAATTCTGGGTTAGGCCGATCTCTAGTGGAATTTTCAGAAGCAGGAGAGGAGGTCTCGGAGGGGTGGCCCATCCCCGGAAAGTCGGAGCCTGAAGGCGAAGGGGACGAGGGGGCTGCCTTGGAACACAGCCCGGCGAGGAGGAAGACGAAGAGGAAGAGGATCAGGCTGCAGGATTTCATAGCTCTGGGAGATGACTATACCTGCCTGGGGGAGCGGGAAGGAGGGGGTTAAGGCTGAAGGCTCCCTGGAGACCACGCCCACCCAGAGGCCACGCCCACTCCACCTGAGGCCACGCCCATCGCCCGCAGGTGGACTACATCGAGACCCAGCCTGGCGCCAGGGAAGGGATGAAAACCCAATGGCAACTCCTGGGAGGCTGTGGGGTGATGGCTGCGGTAGCTAAGGGAGACTGAGGCGGGGCTTCTCGGGAGTCATAGTTAATTTCTTATCGGTTACACCCAGGGGTCCTAGAAAAACTGGAAAGGAATGACACCTCCCCAGGCCCCCAGACTCCCCGGACTTCGGCTTTGGAAGGCATCAGATCTCCGAGGGGACATGAGATCCCCTTCCTCTCCGAGGCCCCCTGGGACACCTTGACTCAACAGTTGTTTACACTAGAGGAAGTTCAGAAGGAAGGGCTGGGGGCTGGAGTCCTGGATCTGAGGAAGGAGGGAGACTCTTGGGCCCTGGGCAAGAAAGTTGCTGGGGTTTCAGACTCGTGGGTCTCACAGGGTGAGGGAGCTGAGGGTCTGAATTCCTGGTTCTTTAGAGGAGAAGCCTGAAAATTGAGATGCCTAGAATTTTGAGGGAGCAAGGTGTGGGGGAGCAAGGCTGGATTACAGGGGAGAAAGGAAATGGGGTCTTGAGCTCTTGGGTCCTGAGTTAGAAGGGGATTGGGAGCCCTGAGTCCTGAATCCTCCAGAAATAGGGGTCTGGACCCCTCGGCATGGGGTGGGGTGGAGGACAGAGCTGTGGGCAGGACTCTCAGGCCTCTGTTTATCCAGGATGGAGTGAGGATTCCAGCATCTGGCGGGCTAGTCCGGGCAGAGACACTTGGGTCTGTGGTCAGCTGGAGGGGGAGGTGGCTCACACCTGGATGGGATAGGCTCACCTGGGCTCCTGGGGTCTCTTACCTGTTCAGTGGTGTCCAAGATAACAGCAGGTGAGCAGAGCTGGATGCAGAGACGTTTGAATGCTGCAGAATGGCTCTGGGCAGAGCATTGGGAGGTAGGGTCTCAGGGGCACACGGGTGACGCACCTGACCCCCTCCTAGGGGATCCTGGGAGCCTAGCAACAGGTTTAGTCTCTTAAAGAGACAGAGGTAAAGGACATTGCCTCTGGGCTGAGGAAGGCAGTTAGGGACCGGATGACCTGGTGGAGGGCTGTGGCCCAAACTATCTTCCTTTGAAACCAGGGGTCCTGGCCCTCTGTTCCCTCCTACACCGAAACCTAAGGCTCTAGTTTCCTGGCACACCTTCCTGCTTCAAGCCCCGGGAGATGGCTTCCCCAGGTCCCTCCCTTCAGACCCAGGAGTCCAGGCCTCCAGCTCCTTACTCCCTCAGATCCAGGAATGCAGGTCCCCAGGCCTCTCCTTCCCTAGAACGGGGAGTCTGGGTCCCTGTCCCACCCACTCTTAAACCTAGGAGCCCAAGCTCCGGCTCCTCCTCTCTGGGAAACCCGGAGCCCAGGTTTCCTTGTCCCAGGTTGCTGCTGCCCTTTAGGATGTCCCACCTTTGTCCACCTCCCCACTGTGTGCGGAGGGCCCCGTCTTAAGAGCCGGTGTTGGGGGGGATTGGGCTTTCTCTTCAAGACACCCCCAAACTCCTCCCAGGGAAGGGCTTAGACACAATCACGGTGTAGCTCAGGGCCCCGGTCTGTCTGTCTCCTCTTCCCCACTCTCTGAAGCTTTCTTGATTTTGTCAGTCACTTTACCTGTCCTGGCACCTCTCCCGCGCTCCCTAGCTCCCACTCTGTCTCTCTGGTTCTCTCCCTGCTGGATTAATCTCTGGGCATCTCTGGCTAGGTCGGCTGTCCTTCCATCTCCTTTGTCTTTCCCTCATCCTTCCATCTTGGTCTGGCTCGGTTAGTCTCTTTCCCTCTCTTTTCTTCCTTTCTGTTCCTTTCCTTCTTCCTCTGTTGCTCCCTTTCTTACTCTCTCTCCTCCCCGGCCACTCTCTGTCTCTGTCCCTCCCTCTCTCTGCCATTTCTTCTCTTTGTGTCTCTGTTTCTCCTCACAGCCCCTCCTCTCTGTTGCTCTCCCCGTCTCTCTTTCTCCCTCTCTGTGTCCCTGTCTTCTGCTCTAATGGTCCCCCCGCCAATCTCTATTTTTATCCCTCTGACACACCCCCTGTGTCCACCTCTCTGTCTGTCTGTCTCTCCCCCTCCCTCTGCTCAGGTCCCAGCTTCTGGTCCCAATTAGTTGGTGGTGGCCAATGCAGCGGCGGGGCCCCCACCCCCGGCTCCTCATTACCGACAGCGGCTCCTAATGAGCCTGGGGTGGGGGCTGACCCTGCGCCCCCAGCCCGCGGCCTGCGTCACTGCCTGCAGCGGGGGCTGTGAAGGCCATATAAGGGGGCTGCCAGCCTCGCTGCCCGTGCCCACTGCGTGGTAGGGGGCCTTGCGGGAGGCCGCTGGGTGTGGGTGGCTGGTGGGTCCGGGGTTCTGGGCAGGGATTCGGGCCCCACTGATCCCTTTCCTCTCTCTCCACAGGTGATGGAGACCCGCCAGGTGTCCCGGAGCCCCCGGGTGCGGCTGCTGCTGCTGCTGCTGCTGCTCGTCCCCTGGGGCACCCGCACTGCCTCAGGAGTCGCCCTGCCCCCCGCTGGGGTCTTCAGGTAGGTGCCAGGCCCAGGACTCCCAGGGAGGGGTGCGGAATCTCAGAGGTGGGAAGAGAGCCAAAGAGAAAGGGGAACAGAGACCCAGAAAGGGGGACAGACCCAAAGAGAGGGCGACAGAGACCGGGGGGTGGGGGAACAAGGCGGGGGTTGCTGTCGGTGGTGGTCAGAGAGACTCAGCAAGAGGAAGCGATAGAAAAAGGAAGATTCTGGGATAGATGTGGCGAGACTTGAAAGGACTGGTGCAGAAACAGACTCATTCTTTGAGCAACGTACGGGTCCTTGGTGTGTGCCAGGCCGTGTGCAGAGCGCCGGGGACGGACGAGTGCATCAGGTTCGATCTCTGCACTCAGGGAGCTTTGAACCCGACTACAGATACAGAGACAAGGAGACGGGGGAGAGAGATCGAGCCACTCCACGGACGGGGCAGCAACACGGCTTCGAGTTAGACCGCGGGGAGGACAGGCGGCGGCGGGCGGGGGCGTGGACTCGCGATAAGGCGTCTCTTGGTCTCCTGCAGCCTGCGCACCTCCGGCCGGGCCTGGGCGGGTCCGGCCACTCCTCTGTCGCGGCGGAGCCTGGCGCTGGCGGACGACGCGGCCTTCAGGGAACGCGCGCGGCTGCTGGCAGCCCTCGAGCGCCGCCACTGGCTGAACTCGTACATGCACAAGCTGCTGGTGCTGGACGCGCCCTGAGCGCCCCACCCGTCCCCACCGTAATAAAGACCCTGTCGTGAGCTCCTGACTGCGCCTGCTTCCTGTGCGACCTGTGTGTGTGGGGGGGGCGGGGGCAGGGCGGAAAAGGAGAGGGACCTGTGTCGGCCACTCTGGAGTCTCGCCTCTCAGTCTCCGCTTCTTTCCTTAAAAAAAAAAATCTTTCCCTCAATTCATATTCTCTCGGTCTCTGTCTGTCTGTCGCTCACTCTTTCCGGGAAGCTGGCGTCTTTCCTCTCTCCGGATTTCCGCTTCCACACCCCTCCCCCAGCTCTGTCTCCTCTCGCTCTAGGTCTCTGTCCCTCTCCACCCCCGTCTCTGTCCCCTTCTCTCTGGTTCTCTGTAACCCTCGAAGTCACTGCCTCCGGCCCCCTCGTGAGTCTCTGCCCCCTTCTCTGGGTCTCTTCCTCTGTAGGCGTCTACCTACGTCTCTCTGTGTCCTTGTACTGATCGCTTGGCTTCCTGGCTTTCTGCAGATCTCTGCCTCCTTCCTCTACTATCTTTCTTTCTGCCTCTGAAACTTTTCCTTCCCTTTTAATCACTTTCTTTTTTCCTTTTTTCTCTGCCTGACTCCTTTATATTTTCCTTTTCTTTTTTCCTCTGGGTCTCCATCTCTCTCTTGCCAGCTCTCGTGTCGTCTGAATCTAGCTATTTCTAACCTCTGGTCACTTCCAGACTTCTCGGGCACAGTGGAAAGGCTCCAGTGGGAAACGCACCTGGCATCCAAGCCCAGGGTCCCCCAAATCTAGCTGTGTGATATTGAGAAAGGTTTCTTAACCTCTCTGTGCCTCATTTTATGAGGATCAAACCAGATACTTCACGAGAAGACTTTTGCACAGCGCCTGGCACGTAGCAAAATGCTTTTATTAAAATAAGGTTTCCTCCTCTCGCAGCAGCCTTTAGCAGTTTTCTTAGGGTTTTCTGATTGCGCCCTTCCCTGGAGACCACCGGGGCGCCAGGCTGGGGCGGGAGGGGAAGAGAGGGGGGAACAGGCGTCAGGCTCCAGGAGGGACTCGAAAAGGGCAGGGAGACACCTGGGCCGCCGGTGAAGAGAGGAAACAGCCAATCAAAATCTGCCTCTCTCCCTGGAGGCCTGGCCCCCCCCGGCCCCGCCCCTCCACGGTAACCATGGCAACCCATTCTCAGCGGGACGCGGAGGGCTCTGATCTGCGTTCCCAGGACCCTGCTTTTGCGGACCGCGCTCTGATTGGTCTAAGGAACGGGAACGAGCCGGGCACATCCGCGCGCGGGAAGCGGGGCGGAGCTGGCGCGTGCGGTAGGCCAGGTCTTCCGGAATTTGCATTTTCTGGAGGCGGACCAAGCCCTAATTGGCCCTTAGGCTGCGGGGGCGGGACTGTTCCCTAAATGTCATCCAGTAATAGTGAATAATGTAGGCATAACTGCATTCCTCAAAACCATCCGAAGTTGCCCGAATTTTACAAATAAATAAATAAGACTCTGAAAGTCAGGAGGAAGTTCCCCAAGTTGTTGGAGGTAGTAAGGGACAGAAGGATAGCTGGAATCCATATCTGTGCAATTTCAAAGTCTTTCCACTCCTCTCATGGAGAAATGGAATTAAAACGCTAATGAGCAGCTGCTATATGCCAGGCACTCTTCTGAGTGCTGTATTTG